TGACGTGAAACTTTTTACACAGCAATGACATCAAGAGTGGCTAAGCTGCTGTGTTATCAGATTTTAGAGCTCTTCTGAAAGACCTTAGATTAATTGGTTTGTACTAAAATAATCAAGTGCTTTTGTTACAAATAATCTATGATTTTCGCTGGTAAAAACAGTCGAAATTCTTTTGTGAAATTTTAGCCCAAGTCGTGGGTGTGGCTCGTTGCCTTTTAGATTAATGTTTATTAAAGCAAAGAAACCTTATGTGTTTTCTACTTTTTTCTCCCAGGACTCTCTTTTAACAGCCGAGTGGGAAGAGCTAAAGAGAACGCTTCAAGTGAGAATGACTTCGATTTATCTACTTCTAGTTATTTGTTCAGGATGCGACTCTCTGAATCTCCAGGCGTTTGAGATGCTGAAATAGCCTAGTTCTTCTGTTGTCTAGAGTTACCTTTGTATTAATAATTCTTTACTTTATGTTTCCCTCAGGAGGCAGGATTCCCTCCCGGTGTTATCTTAGAAATAAGAATGTATTTGGATAAAGGTGAGATTTGTGCTTTGTGATAATTTCCGTTTCATTTTAAATATAAGCAGTAATCGAGGAAACGCGAGGTATACAGTAGGAGCTTCCTAAAAGGCCTTATTTTGTCGATTCTGTATATCCACTTAACTCAACAGGATAAAATTGCGAGCTATTTTCTCGTTCGGTCATTTTCTACTCAGCTGCCCCTTCGCACTACGCGCTGACGCTTCTTCCACGTGCTATTTTCCCGTTTCTTGCTGTTTGTGTTACGAAAGTAGAGAGTCTTCTCTGGCGTATGGTTTCATCATGTGGTCAATTTAATGAAACTCAGACAAGTGTATTGTACAAGTGCAACTACTTTTTCTGAGTGTAAAAACAATATTGAATTGAGTTGTAATGCTTGCTGATGGGAAAAATTTGTTCAAAATCAAGGCGTCTCTGTTCTCGTAATGACCCTCTTGATCATACAGAGTTATAAAGATAAAGAAGTTGGTGGTTGTTATGAGATGATTACTGTTATTGAGGCGATGTGTTTGTCTCCGTAAGGTCTGTTGGAGAAAGGCAACAAGAAGGCCTCAAAACCCACGAGTGAGAAAGCGCCTACAACAACAGCTAACCACACCCATGAATCAAAGAGAGCGTCAGAGTCTCCGTCACCGACCAAATCATTTGAAAAAAACGTTGAAATACGCAAACTCAACCAGGAACTGCAGCAGCTCATGATAAGTGGCACTCAAGACACAGGAGGACCAAGACGAGTTTCACCCACGAGACAAATTAGCCCCCCTAAAGAACAACCCGGCCACGATGGAACACCTTATAGTCGAGGAGGACCACGCAAGTTTGTTAGCAGGGCTGAAAGAAGGCATTCAGCAGAGTACTTCCAGGAGGACTCTGATGAGACAGTAGCGGACCCTTTAAGCGATATGTCCGAAAGGATGGCTCCAATTCCCGCTGCTTCTATTGAACCTTCCAATATAAGCACCTCTGTGGCAACAAGCCCAGAGCCAATTAAGTCGGTCGGTACTATGTCCTATAGCGCTGTGCTCAAGAATTTAACGTCAGAGACTACGAAGCCTAAAAACGCTCCCGCCGGCGGGAAGCCACCTAACCAGTCCAAAATATTTTCACGTCCTCCCCCAGGATTTTCTCCTCTTCCCACCCACGGTGGGGACACAGAAATGCGCATGACGGTCCTGAGTACTAAGTCAAAAACAAAGCAAACCGCTGCAGCTAGCGGTGCGCCACGTAACAACCCAACACGAGCTGACTCCAGCATGAATTGGCGGAATGATGAACAGAGTACGCAGAGTAGTACACAACACCAGCAACAACAACATAGAGCAAACAATTCGGCACAATCTGGGCAAGCTGTCAAATGGCAACGGTCTGATGAATCATCACAAAGCAGACCCCATCGGACTGCACCCATAAGGGAGAGTGGGCGAGGTAGAGACACGCCCAATAAGCCTACGGATTATTCTAGTTCTGATGATTCATCCGAGCCACCTACCGCTCCGGTACAACCACACCGGGTGTTCGGCCCCGGGGGACTAAAGGCGTGTGTGATATGTGGAAGTAAGGACCATCTACGGTGTAACGACCGCTCCAAACTATTTTTTTGACTGACCAAGCCGTGAAAAAATGCTGAAGATGCTGTTTGTATCTAACGTATCTACCGGGTATTTAACGGAGACCACCGTTACGTGTGGATTTGATGCTGTCAAATATCCAAGCTGTTAATGTGCCTTATGACATTGACTATTTGCGTTCTTCTCATTTTCGCTCGTTAAAGTTCAGGAAACTTGAAAAATAGCTCAAGGTATTGCTCTTTGCAAACAACGAAATTAAGTTGCGACACCTCCTAGATAAGGTTTTGCAAAACGCTTCATGTTCCAGTACCACTCGGCATTACGGTGCATCATCTCGGTTTTTTTTTTTTTATCCTAGTATAAAAGCCTGTTTTTTGCCTACTATTTATAAAACTTGCCTGGCCATCCGGCGTTTGACTCATGACTCTGACTGATGTTTGACTCATCAGTGTATTCAAGTTTATTGACAAAAGGGTTTTTTAGCTACGTTCACATACCGTCAGTTATCTACACCGTATAGCTTTTGCGCCGGCGCGAAAACCAGACAGGATAGGGTATTGAAAAAGGTGATGACAGTGCGATTTCTGTAATGGAGTAAAGCGGGGCCGCGCTGGACTCTAACGTGGACAGTTACATAACGGATAGTTGTTCATACTATGCCGGATAGCTTTTTGTGTCGGCAAGAGAAGCTATCCGGCATAGTGTGAGAATAGCCGTAAACTCCCTAAAACCTAGAGGGTGCGAAACCGTCGCTTCGTTTCACGTTTCAGACGTGGCCCCAGTTGTTCAAAAGATGGATAGCGCTATCCACCGGATAAATTTCTAACCAGAGGATAGTGCAATTGGCAAGAGATTTATCCGGTGGATAGCGCTATCCACCTTTTGAACAGCTGTGGCCTGAACCAAATCACGTTTTTAAATATATTTGGAGTAACTATATAATGGTCTGTTCCCGTATTCCTGTGAACAAATTTACCGACTCGAGGCTTGAGTTGACAAAAACATTGATTTGTATGAGCACTCAAACCTCCACCGCGTTTCATGGTGAGAAAGGTCTATCCAGGCTGGTTCACAGTTAAAATAATCCAATGTTGTTTTCGTTCAGAACCATTGATTCACAAAATAGAGAAATTATGTAACTATTTAATTATTTTGGGAATAAATTGTTTTTTCTTCCAACACTTATGACTCTTGGCTTTAATTTGTTACATCTTTAAAACAGACGAGCCAACCCCGAAAAAAGTAACTCTGGTCGTCTCAGACCCGGTATGAAATTTCAGCCATCACCAAAACCAGGCAGTCTCCTTTTTTGTAATGTTTTTCGTTGGTAGGGGTATAGCTGGTCTTTTTAATTCTTCCCGCTGCCGGGGTGAATAGCCTGCTAGCAAGCTCTCCGGGGAGCTCTTGAGGCGGGGCGGGAAAAAGAAGGAGAGCTTGCAATTGACCACTCCAGAAACGACCTAACATATCATAACACTGTTTGTTGGTCACACCAAAATTTTGCATGAGCGTTGTCTTTAGTTTCTCTTAGGAGTTAAAATGGCCCCAAGAGAAACTGAAAACAATGCTTATGCAAAAGTTTGGAGTGACCAACAAACAGTATTATGGTATGTTATGGTATTTTCTGGAGTGGTCAATTACGTCTCTGGGACTTGCATATCTGCATCGAAAAAGTCGATGCGAAATTCGCCACTTGCACATCTCTCATAATGCACCTTATTTGCCCCCCAAAATTTTGCATAAGCATTGTTTTCAATTTCTCTTGGGACAGCTGTAATACCCAAGAGAAAAGAAAAACAAGGTTATGCCAAATTTGGGGGGCGGTGGGGGGGGGGGCAAGTAAGGTGCACTATGGGAGATGTGCAAGTGGCGTATGCTGATTGGCAGAGATGACATAAGTAATGACGTCATTACCATTGGCACGTGTTCTTCATTGCTTTTACATACGCGATCGTTTCCGTTCCGCGCTGATTGGTGGAAATGTGACAGCTCAATCGACGGGGAGACTCAGGGGAATTGGAGGTGGAATTCAAATTCCTGAGAGAGACGTAGTTGCAAGCTCTCGCCGCCTCCAAAGCGCCCCGTAGAGCTTGCTCGCGGGCTATGTGGGATTAGTGAAGTGACCATTCAAGTGAAACCTCTTTTGCAGTACACGTACTGTTTGTTTTTAAGCATTAGACAAAATCAAATTTTTGGACTCTGCCAACCTCCACAATCATGGCGCTAAAGTCTTGGGACAATTGTGCAGCTGTAACGCTTTTCAACACACGCCAAATAAATATTCGCGCGCGACTTTAGCAGCACCTTCCCAGTCCCTCTCCCCTCCCCACCGACAGGGTTGAAAGCGTGAAGCCCTTAGTATAGCCCCTTTCAACATTGTATTGGATTGGGAGTGGGAAGGGGGAAAGGATAGATGGATGGACTAAGGAAGGGGAAAGCGGGGCGGATCCTGGTGACATGAATTCAGGTTCTGGTCTCTTTCTCAGATTGGTCAAATGTCTCCCTCCCCAGTCCACCGCTCAGCGTGCTTCGCTTGCCGATTTTGTTATGCGGTTTCACTCCGTTTTTTACATTTTCTCCTTACAGCGGAGCCTGGTTCTAAGCTAGTTCGGAAGAAAGACAAATCATCATTTGTCCCCTTGTCCTCCATCTGCAATGACGGCAAACAAATGTACGAAAAAGTGTGATGCACGTTCAGCCATGCTCACAGTAGACCGGATACCTTTTGCGCCGGCGCAAAAACCATACCGGATATATCGCTTCTGTTCACACATGAGAACGGTGATTTCAGCGCGATTTCTGTAACGGATAGAAGCTGCCTAGCACCGATCTGAGGATTTTCTGAATGGATGTGGAATAATTTAAGTAAATATAGCATCAGCCCCCCCCCCCCCCCCCCCCCCACAAGACAAATTAGCCCCCCTAAAGAACAACCCGGCCACGATGGAACACCTTATAGTCGAGGAGGACCACGCAAGTTTGTTAGCAGGGCTGAAAGAAGGCATTCAGCAGAGTACTTCCAGGAGGACTCTGATGAGACAGTAGCGGACCCTTTAAGCGATATGTCCGAAAGGATGGCTCCAATTCCCGCTGCTTCTATTGAACCTTCCAATATAAGCACCTCTGTGGCAACAAGCCCAGAGCCAATTAAGTCGGTCGGTACTATGTCCTATAGCGCTGTGCTCAAGAATTTAACGTCAGAGACTACGAAGCCTAAAAACGCTCCCGCCGGCGGGAAGCCACCTAACCAGTCCAAAATATTTTCACGTCCTCCCCCAGGATTTTCTCCTCTTCCCACCCACGGTGGGGACACAGAAATGCGCATGACGGTCCTGAGTACTAAGTCAAAAACAAAGCAAACCGCTGCAGCTAGCGGTGCGCCACGTAACAACCCAACACGAGCTGACTCCAGCATGAATTGGCGGAATGATGAACAGAGTACGCAGAGTAGTACACAACACCAGCAACAACAACATAGAGCAAACAATTCGGCACAATCTGGGCAAGCTGTCAAATGGCAACGGTCTGATGAATCATCACAAAGCAGACCCCATCGGACTGCACCCATAAGGGAGAGTGGGCGAGGTAGAGACACGCCCAATAAGCCTACGGATTATTCTAGTTCTGATGATTCATCCGAGCCACCTACCGCTCCGGTACAACCACACCGGGTGTTCGGCCCCGGGGGACTAAAGGCGTGTGTGATATGTGGAAGTAAGGACCATCTACGGTGTAACGACCGCTCCAAACTATTTTTTTGACTGACCAAGCCGTGAAAAAATGCTGAAGATGCTGTTTCTATCCAACGAATCTACCGCGTATTTAACGGAGACCACCGTTACGTGTGGCTTTGTTGCTGTCAATATCCAACCTGTTATTGTGCCTTATGACATTGACTGTTTGCGACATTCTTATTTTCGTTCGTTTAAGTGTTTTTCAAATAAACGTGAAGCTTTACGCATTTTAGCTAAATAACTGGTTGTTTATTGAACGAAAAGTTCAAGAAACTTGAGTAATAGCGCAAGGTATTGCTCTTTTCAAACAGCCAAATTAAGTTGCAAACACCTCCTAGATAAGGTTTTGCAAAACGCTTCGTGTTCCAGTACCACCCGACATTACGGTGCATCATCTCGGTTTTTTTATCCTAGTTTAAAAACCCGTTTTTTGCCTGCTATTTATAAAACGTGCCTGGCCATCCGGCGTTTGACTCATGACTCTGACTGATGTTTGACTCATCAGTGTATTCAAGTTTATTGGCAAAAGATAGTTTTAGCTACGTTCACATACCGTCAGTTATCCACACAGGATAGCTTTTGCGCCGGCGCGAAAACCAGACCGGATAGGGTATTGAAAACGGTGATGACAGCGCGATTTCTGTAATGGAGTGAAGCTGCGCCGCGCTGGACTCTAACGTGGACAGTTACATAACGGATAGTTGTTCATACTATGCCGGATAGCTTTTTGTGTCGGCAAGAGAAGCTATCCGGCATAGTGTGAGAATGGCCTTAAACTCCCTAAAACCTAGAGGGTGCGAAACCGTCGCTTCGTTTCACGTTTCAGACCTGGCCCCATTTCTTCAAAAGATGGATAGCGCTATCCACCGGATAAATTTCTAACCAGTGGATAGTGCAATTGGTTTCCCTAATACTTGTCCAGTGGATAGAGATTTATCCACCTTTTGAACAGCTGTGGCCTGAACCAAATCACGTTTTTAAATATATTTGGACTAACTATTTATAATGGTCTGTTCCCGCATTCCTGTGAACAACTTTACCGACTCGAGGCTTGAGTTGACAAAAACATTGATTTGTATGAGCAATCAAACCTCCACCGCGTTTCATGGTGAGAAAGGTCTATCCAGGCTGGTTCACGGTTAAAATAATCTAATTTTGTTTTCGTTCAGAACCACTGATTCACAAAATAGAGAAATTATGTAACTATTTAATTATTTTGGGAATAAATCGTTTTTTTCTTCCAATACTTATGACTGACTCTTGGCTTTAATTTGCTACAGCTTTAAAACAGACGAGCCAACCCGGAATAAAGCAAGTCTAGTCGTCTCAGACCCGGTATGATATTTCAGCTATCAACCAAACCAGCCAGTCTCCTTTTTTGTAATGTTTTTCGTTGGTGGGGGTATAGCTTGTCTTTTTAATTCTTCCCGCTCCCAGGGTGAATAGCCTGCTAGTAAGCTCTCCGGGGCGTTCTGGAGGCGGGGCGGGAAAAAGAAGGAGAGCTTGCAATTGACCACTCCAGAACACCATAACATACCATAATACTGTTTGTTGGTCACTCAAAAATTTTGCATAAGCATTGTCTTCAGTTTCTCTTGGGAGTTAAAATGGCCCCAAGAGAAACTGAAAACAATGCTTATGCAAAGTTTTGAAGTGACCAACAAACAGTATTATGGTATGAAAATGAAGAAATGATCGTCGCAGTTCATTTACACTCATTTCTTTGACGGGAACATATGAACTCACAATTGACCTGCTCCCAACGTCAACGGCTTCATAGCTCAGTTGGTGGAGCATCGCACCGGTATCGCGAGGTCACGGGTTCGAACCCCGTTGAAGTCCTGAATTTTTTTCAGGCTTCTTTACGCAATTGCATAAATTGCGTTCACTGCGCCGATCATTTCTTTATTTTCATTTCATTTCCTCAGTTCATATATGATTTATTTCCTTTATCATTAACAGTATTATGGTATGTTATGGTATTTTCCGGAGTGGTCAATGACGTCTCTGGGACTTAAATATCTGCATCGAAAAAGTCGATGCGAAATACGCCACTTGCACATCTCCCATAATGCACCTTATTTGCCTCCAAAATTTTGCATAAGCATTGTTTTCAGTCTCTCTTGGGACAGCTGTAATACCCAAGAGAAATGAAAAACAAGGTTATGCCAAGTTTTGGGGGGCAAATAAGGTGCATTATGGGAGATGTGCAAGTGGCGTATGCTGATTGGCGCAGATGACATAGTTAATGACATCATTAGCTTTGGCACGTGTTTTTCATGGTTTTTTACATTCGCGCTCGTTTCCGTATCGCGCTGATTGGCGGAAATCTGACAGCTCAGTCGACGGGGAGCCTCAGGGGAATTGGAGGTGGAATTCAAATTCCAGAGAGAGACGTAGTTGCAAGCTCTCCCACCCGCTAGAGCGCCCCGTAGAGCTTGTTCGCAGGCTAAGTGCGAATAGTGGAGTGACCATTCAAGTGAAACCTCTTTTGCAGTACTTAATTTAACACGTTCTGTTTGTTTTTAAGCATTAGACAAAATCACATTTTTTTTTAACCTCTTCGTCTTGGGACATTTGTGCAGCTGTAACGCTTTTCAACACACGCCAAATAAATATTCGCGCGCGACTTCAACTGAACCTTCCCAGTCTCTCTTCCCACCCCACCGACAGGGTTGAAAGCGTGAAGCCCTTGGTATAGCCCCTTTCAACATTGTATTGGATGAGGAGTGGCGAGGGGGAAAGGATGGATGGACTGGGAAGGAGAAAGGGCGGCGGATCCTAGTGACACGAATTCAGAGTCTGGTCTCTTTCTCAGATTGGTCAAATGTCTCCCTCCCCAGTCCACCGCTCAGCTTGCTTCGCTTGCCGATTTTTTTTATGCCGTTTCATTCCATTTCTTACATTTTTTCCCTACAGCGGAGCCTGGTCCAAGGCCAAGTCCCAGGCTAGTTCGGAAGAAAGACAAACCATCATTTGTCCCCTTGTCCTCCATGTGCAGTGAAGGCAAACAAATGTACGAAAAAGTGTGACGCACGTTCAGCCTTTGTTTGCATTCTCGTTGGCGTAGCCATGTTCACAGTATACCGGATAGCTTTTGCGCCTGCGCGAAAACCCTACAGGATTGGGCTTCTGTTCACACATAAAAACGGTGATTTATGCGTGTTTTCTGTAACGGATAGAAGCTGCCTGGCACCGATCTGAGGATTTGAAAGATGGAGGTGGAATAATTTAAGTAAATGTAGCATCAACCCCAAGCCAAAAAAGAACCTAACCAGTTTCGAAACAGTGCTTAACCCTAATCTGTAAAAGTTCTAAAAGGCAGTGCTTAACCCTAATTAGTATTGGGGAAAACTACGTTGAGTAAATTTCATGCGGGTGTCAGAAGGGGTTACGCTCGATGGGATCTAATGGAAAAGAAGAGATTGGGATTTAGTGAACCAAGCCCTCTCGGCCAACCGTGTGAACCACTAGTTCCAGTTCTCTGCCTTTGCCATTCATACTATAACAGATGGTTTTTCGAGTGGGCACGAAACTGATTTGGGGTATCCACTCTAGTCTCTCCCAGGGTCATTTTATTTAGGAGGTCAAAGCCATTAAACACACATACATACCATCCTGACTTAAAATGTTTAATAATTGACTGCAGCCTATTTATTTTTACATTACCAGATAACATTTGTTAACCTAATTATATGCATGAGAATAGTCTGTACACAATATTCATTATTTTGTAAACTTATAAAATTTGTCATACAAAAGTAGTTAAAATTTCAATTTTGAACAAAAACTAAATGAATTTATTCCCACAAACCCTCTTAACGTTTTCCATAGTAAGGTTTTCTTCACCTTTTCGAATGTCCGGTTAAGCTTCTTAAGCCATTCATTATTTACGAAAAAAATTCAAAACAAGTTCATAGACTTATTTGGTGGTTAAGATAACATGTGGAAAATTCCTCATTTTCTCTTGCTACTAATTATTTGCAATTTGGGAAAGCTTTGTTTTCTTCTAAGCCCAGGTCAGACAGCCACAAATTCTCACAATATTTGGTGAAAGAAGATTGAAACCATGCAGGATCAAACAATCACGGCGTTCCCATGAACAGATTTANGCAGCCTATTTATTTTTACATTACCAGATAACATTTGTTAACCTAATTATATGCATGAGAATAGTCTGTACACAATATTCATTATTTTGTAAACTTATAAAATTTGTCATACAAAAGTAGTTAAAATTTCAATTTTGAACAAAAACTAAATGAATTTATTCCCACAAACCCTCTTAACGTTTTCCATAGTAAGGTTTTCTTCACGTTTTCGAATGTCCGGTTAAGCTTCTTAAGCCATTCATTATTTACGAAAAAAATTCAAAACAAGTTCATAGACTTATTTGGTGGTTAAGATAACATGTGGAAAATTCCTCATTTTCTCTTGCTACTAATTATTTGCAATTTGGGAAAGCTTTGTTTTCTTCTAAGCCCAGGTCAGACAGCCACAAATTCTCACAATATTTGCTGAAAGAAGATTGAAACCATGCAGGATCAAACAATCACGGCGTTCCCATGAACAGATTTATCATCAAGGGTGAAACACGTTACACCGGCATGCGCTAAATTTAATAGTAGCCTGCGAACGGCAGACGTTTCTCCACGTCCCTCAGCGGCGATGAGCGAGAAGAAACGTCTGCCGTTCGCAGGCTACTAAATTAGTTACACTGCGCATGTACGAGGTGGACAAAAATCAGCCTCAACTTTTCGAGGACAAGAGAACTGTGACAAAGCTGAGACAAAGCTTAAAAAGAGGTTAAACTCTTCTCAACATGTTACAAAATCTCACGTTGTTGTAAGGTGGTGTGAAACAGCCACAAG